CTAAACTACTGGGATTACAGACATGAACCATCATGTGACTGTGCCACCACACCTGGCTTGTTAAAATTTTTATTTATCTATTTATTTTTTGAGACAGGGTCTCAGTAAGTTGCTCTGGCTAGCCTTCAATTTGCTAGCCTTATGCCTCAGCTGCCTGAGTGGCTGGGCTTACAGGTCTGGTCCACCAGGCCCAGATGTGGTAATACAACCTCCTTCTAATCCCTTCCCTCTACACTTCCTAACCTCTGGTGACCAGTATTCTACTTTCTACTTCTGCAAAATCAACTCTTTTAGTTTCTACATGTGTGAGAACCTGTGGTTTGTCCTTCGGTGTCTTCCTGCATGGTCTCTTGTGCTCCACCCTTACTGGGCACTCTGGCTCCCTCCCACTCATGTTCCTCAGAGCTGCCTACAAGCACTACAACTGAAGTGTGTCACTTCCCTTCTGTAGCCTCTGCAGTATATCCTTGTCTCCTTGAGCTCAGCCTATATGCAAGGGACCTAATTTCCCTGCATACCTGAAGCCTCCTCTGCCATCACTCCCCCAAATGCACCTGGGGCTCTAATGGCCAAAGTAGTGTGCTCTGCCAATTCCATCTATTTTGGTACTTCCTTATACACATGGATCTGTTCCTTGTGTCTGGAATGCCTATCCCTATCTGTCTGCTTACATGAATGTTTCCTCATTAGATTGTGAGTTCCTATTTCCACATTCAAAAACACCTGTAAGTCTGATCCCTGCTGGCTTTTTTACTTCAACCGACTTCACTCCTCACTTCAACCACACAGACTTTCCTCTCACCCCCTGATGGACTCAGTCAGACTTCCTTCCCCATTATACTTTCATAGGACCAGACACCTTCCTTTCATAACTTTGAATTTTTACATTCATGTATACTGTGTCATAAATGTCAGTCTCTGCCCCCTGGAACATAAGCTCCTCAGAAACAAGGGTTGGGTCTGCCTAGGCCAGGAAACCTCTCACCCGAGTCTTGAAGAGTGGTGGCTGCACTAATTGCGTTTAAGTAGCCATCGGGTGCCTACCTTACCCTCCAGAAAGAAAGAGAGAGAAAGACGCACCTCAAACAGACATGGGGTGCGTGGAGAGGGCTTACCTGGGTATAGAAAAATCTCGGTGGAACCTCCAATATGTTACCGATGTTGGCCGGTGATGAATCCTCGATTCCCCAATGTTGAAGAATAACACCAGAAAAGCAAGGTCAGAGTAGAAATTAGAAGTTTATTAAAGGACAGCAGAAAAGACTTCTCCCGGAGGAAGAAGGGGACCCAAGAGGTGGAATCCGTTGAAGGGCAAATGTGTTCCCCTTTTTATAGGTTTGGTGATGGAATGTAAGGGGGAAGGGTTGGGACACAGGTGGGCCAAACAAGTAATCTGGGCAGGAAGGACTTCATTATCACTTTTTTGGGGATGAGTTTATCACTTCTTTGGGATGGGCTTATCTCCAAGATCTGTTGGGGGCTGTTTCCTGGGTTCCATTAACATTTCTTTTTTTTTTTTTTTAAGAGAAATAGAGGGGGGGGAATTTGAATATTTATTTTTTAGTTTTTGGGGACACAACATCTTTGTTTGTATGTGGTGCTGAGGATCGAACCCCCATCTCACACACGCCAGGCAAGTGCGCTACCGCTTAAGCCACATCCCCAGCCCCCATTAACATTTCTTTGGGGTGGACTTTGGCCTAGGGCCTTTCTGGGACTTCAGTAACATTCCATGAGTTGTCCTGCGTTTCTGGAATCATTGTCAGCATGGCCTCCATTTTAGATTTTACTTGGTATTAGACCCCATTTACCTAACTACACTGACGACCTAATTTTAAATCTGGCTTCAGTAGCTCACAAATCCTACTGACTCCTAAGGCTGAGGCAAGAGGATCACAAATTCAAGGCCAGCCTCAGCAATTTAGAGAGATCCTGTCTCAAAATAAAAAATAAGGGCTGGGGTTGAAGCTCAGTGGTAGAGCGCTTGTCTAGCACATGCGAGGCCCTGGGTTCTATCCTTAGCACCAAATAAATAAATAAAATAAAGGTATTGTGTCCAACTACAACTAAAAATTAATAATAATAAAATATTTTTTAAAAAAGGTCTGGGGGTGTGGTTCAGTAGTAAAACACTCCTCAGTTCAATCCCATTTATCTTGAAAAAAAAAAGTGTTGAGGGCTCAGGCTGTAGCTCAATGGTAGATCTGCTTAGCAGGCTGGAGGCCCTGGATTTGATCTCCAGCACCCAAGAGGGGGAGTGGGAGAATGAGCTGAGAAATGTAAGATCCACTGAGTGAAAGTCCTTGCTGGGCTGGGTGTGCACACCTATAATACCAGCTGCTTGGAAGGCCTAAATAGGAGGATCTCCAGTGAGAGGGCAGCCTCAGCAAGTTAGGGAGACCCTGTCTCAAAATTTAAAAAATAAATACATAAAACAGATTGGGGATGTAGTCCAGTTTAATCCCCAGTACCAGAAAGGAAAAAAAAAAAAAAAAAAAAGAAAGAAAGAAAGAAAAGAAAAGAAAGTCCTTTATTTCCATTTTCCAGCTCCAGCTCTCCCTCTGCCTGAGGTGGTCAGGGAAATGAAAACTGTCACTTAGGCCTGGCCCTAGGGCAGGAAAACCAGTTTGTCATGGTAGGAAATTGGAGATGCTGAGCTCACATTGGAGGCTTGTTTTCAATTTCATATCAAACTGTGAGCTTAGTGAGTGGGGTGAAGGAGCCTGTCTTAATCATTTTTGTTTCCAGGGCTCAGCTCCAAGGCATGGTACCAGCTGTAAAGATGCAGTGAAGCAAACTAGACAGGGAGGTCTGAAGAATCAGCAACCCAGGCTTGGATTGGGCTCTGTGGAGCAAAGAAATTCCAACTTTTCCATCTCCAGACTGCTGTAGAGCACAGAATGACAGCATGAGCGGGTGAAATGCACAGCGAAAAGTCCTATGCCTTTAATTTTGGAGGAAAACACTCTAACTAGAGGAGGGAAAAAAAAAATAATCTTCTTCAGCATACAATAAGAGGTATTTTCAGGTTGTAAAGAACCTTAAAATCTTTATATTGATGAAGAAAAAAAATATATCCTGTGAAATCCAGCTCTCTTTTTATCCATCCATCTCCTTATAGTTTTCTTCTCCCCACCCCTCTCTTCTTTCTTTCTTTCTTTCTATTCTTTTCTTTCTTTCTTTCTTTCCTTTTTTTTTTTTTTTTAAGCAATCTTTTTCTAGATTGGAACAGGAAACAGCTTTCCAGGCTGGGAGGATTTGGCCCATACTAAGAAGCAAAGGGGCTTTCTAAACTCAATTTTCTTTCTTCTTTTAAATTCCCCCTTCCCTTTCCTTCCGACAGACAACAGAAATAATTGATCCATCATTCAGTACTAGACCCAAGAGATTTAGATGCAAATTCCCCTCTCGGCCCCGGACTTTCCTCTCAAACTTAAAATCCTAGAAGTGGGGAGCAATGCAAACTAGAAGCTAGCCTCCGGGCCACCTCCCACCCCCCAACCAGGTGAGAGGGAGGAGGGAATAATCCTCCCCAGCCCCCAGCCCCCGGCCTCCAGCCTCCTCCCTAGTGACACACGCCACCCCTTTCTGTTGCGGAATCACTTAAGGTTCGGGCAAAACTCCCCTTTCTCTCTGGAGACGATCTCTGGAAGCTTTTAGGAGGCGGAGCAGAGGTGGGGAGGGAGAAGGAAAATTTCCCCAAACGTTCGCCAGGCCTAAGAGAGTCGTTTCTTCACTCAAAACTGCCCATCATCCCCCACCCCCAACCATTAACTTTCGATTAAGACCTTCTCCTTATGGCAACTAAACTTTACTTAGCATAATTAAGATTTGCCTCGGAAGAAGGGGGAGATTGAAGCTGCTAGCTCCCGGCCATTCTTCTTCACCTCGGCTCCCCAACCCCCAACCCTCTAGCTCCCGGCCTCGGAGTTCTTGAGTTTTCTCACTTTGAGGTGCCACCGAACACAAAGAACCATAATGGGCTCCTTTGTGCTCGCTGCGGGGCAATTACGCCCTGGAGTCCGGGCCCCTTTAAGAGCCTCTTAAAGAGACAGGCTCTCATTTTTTCAGAGGGTTATTTAAGGGTGTGTGTCTAGGGGGAGGGGCGAGGCGCACTCTTATGGGTCTACGAGTAGAGTGAAGTGAAACTTTTGCCCGGGCTCCATGAGAAGTCTGAGAGAAGTCTTTGTAAATTGTTAGCTTTTTTTTTTTTTTTTTTACAAAAAGTCCTTAATAGAGCTGGGATGTAGCTCAGTGGCAAAGCGTCTGCCTTGCATTCGCAAAGCCCTGGGTTCGACCCCAAGTTTAAAAAAAAAAAATGTCCTTAATAGAAGTTTTTCAACTTGAGAATTTTCATTTGATTAGAAAAATCGGACTGAAATAGGTGGATTTGAGAAGCGGGAGGCGGGGGCAAGGATTTAAAGAGCCCCTACCCAGCAGAGTGCCTGGGCTCCCAGCAAAGTGCCTGGGCTCCCAGCAAGCTGAGTAATCCAGCTTTGAGACGCTGGAGTCTAGCAGCTCTGGGGAATGTGTTTCTCCGGATCTGGCCGCGGAGACTCCGGAGAAATCCCGGGCTGGGCAAATAGCCCTTAATGTAATAATAGCTTGTCTCTTTAAAAAGCAAAAAGAGGGGGGGTAAGTTTTGTTGGCATCTGGTTTCTGATCTCATTATGTTGTGGTGGACCAATCCAGCCCTCGGGGCTGGTCCTTGGGTTTAAATCTGATTGGCGGAGAGCACATTTTGGGATGGTGCTTAGAACTCGACGGGGCGGTTTCAAGTATCCCTTTTTTGGGGGGCTGAAGAGAGGGCGGGGCCGCCAGCGGGGGCCCCCTTGAAACCGACTAATTGGGATCGGAGAGGCCGAGGTGAGGACTGGAGGAGGCACAAAGAAGTCGCTGCGTGGAGAAGGGAGGGGAGAGGGGGAGCTGAGAGGCGAGAGGAGGAGGAAGAGGAGGAGAGAGGGCAGCGGCGCACGGTGTCTCCGGCGGCTCAGTCCGACCGCGGCGAGCTAGCGGGCAGGCGCGCCGCCCCCTCCCCCGCCCGGCCTCCCCAACTCTGCGACCACGAGCAAAGTTTGCAAAGAGGCGCGGGAGGCGGCGGCCGCAGCTAGGCGGCAGCTGGGAAGGCGCGCGGTCTCGGGGTTGGGGGCGGGGGCGGGGGGGCGCCCAGGAGCTGGGTGGGGGGCGGCGGCCAGCATGCGGCCCCGCAGCGCCCTGCCCCGCCTGCTGCTGCCGCTGCTGCTCCTTCCCGCCGCCGGGCCTGCCCAGTTCCACGGGGAGAAGGGCATCTCCATCCCGGACCACGGCTTCTGCCAGCCCATCTCCATCCCGCTGTGCACGGACATCGCCTACAACCAGACCATCATGCCCAACCTTCTGGGCCATACGAACCAGGAGGACGCAGGCCTGGAGGTGCACCAGTTCTATCCATTGGTGAAGGTGCAGTGCTCTCCCGAGCTGCGCTTCTTTCTATGCTCTATGTACGCACCCGTGTGCACAGTACTGGAGCAGGCCATTCCGCCGTGCCGCTCTATCTGCGAGCGCGCGCGTCAGGGCTGCGAGGCGCTCATGAACAAGTTCGGTTTCCAGTGGCCCGAGCGTCTGCGCTGCGAGCACTTCCCGCGCCACGGCGCGGAGCAGATCTGCGTGGGCCAAAACCACTCCGAAGACGGAGCGCCAGCGTTGCTCACCACCGCGCCGCCGCCGGGTCTGCAGCCTGGCGCTGGTGGCACCCCGGGAGGCCCCGGCGGAGGCGGCGTGCCCCCGCGCTACGCCACGCTGGAGCACCCTTTCCACTGCCCGCGTGTGCTCAAGGTGCCGTCTTATCTCAGCTACAAGTTTCTGGGTGAGCGCGATTGTGCTGCTCCCTGCGAACCCGCGCGGCCCGACGGCTCCATGTTCTTCTCGCAAGAGGAGACGCGTTTCGCACGCCTCTGGATCCTCACTTGGTCGGTGCTGTGTTGTGCCTCCACCTTCTTCACTGTCACCACTTACCTGGTGGACATGCAGCGCTTCCGCTATCCAGAGCGTCCTATCATTTTTCTGTCGGGCTGCTACACTATGGTGTCGGTGGCCTATATCGCAGGCTTCGTCCTCCAGGAGCGTGTGGTATGCAACGAGCGCTTCTCTGAAGACGGTTACCGCACGGTGGTGCAGGGCACTAAGAAGGAAGGCTGCACCATCCTCTTCATGATGCTTTATTTCTTCAGTATGGCCAGCTCCATCTGGTGGGTCATCCTGTCGCTTACCTGGTTCCTGGCAGCGGGCATGAAGTGGGGCCACGAGGCCATAGAAGCCAACTCGCAGTACTTCCACCTGGCGGCCTGGGCCGTGCCGGCCGTCAAGACCATCACCATCTTGGCTATGGGCCAGATCGACGGCGACCTGCTGAGCGGCGTGTGCTTCGTGGGCCTCAATAGCTTGGACCCGCTGCGGGGCTTCGTGCTGGCACCGCTCTTCGTGTACCTGTTCATTGGCACATCCTTCCTCCTGGCCGGCTTCGTGTCGCTCTTCCGCATCCGCACCATCATGAAGCACGATGGCACCAAGACGGAGAAGCTGGAGCGGCTCATGGTGCGCATCGGCGTCTTCTCTGTGCTCTACACGGTGCCAGCCACCATCGTCATAGCCTGCTACTTCTACGAGCAGGCCTTCCGCGAGCACTGGGAGCGCTCGTGGGTGAGCCAGCACTGCAAGAGCTTGGCCATCCCGTGCCCGGCGCACTACACGCCGCGCATGTCGCCCGACTTCACGGTCTACATGATTAAATACCTCATGACGCTCATCGTGGGCATCACGTCGGGCTTCTGGATCTGGTCCGGCAAGACTCTGCATTCGTGGAGGAAGTTCTACACGCGTCTCACCAACAGCCGACATGGCGAAACCACCGTGTGAGCGAGGGCGCGTGGCTACCCCGCACCTCCGGGATGGGATGGCACTGTGCTTTCCTTCTGCGGCGAGGCGGGGGGAGGGCTCCCTACGGACTCCTATTTTATTTTTTTAAATAAAGAACAATCGAAACCATTTCTTTTCTAGGTCGCTTTTTAAAGAGAACTCTGCCCAACACCCCCACCAGGTTTGTAATTAAAACTGTAAATAGTCTTTGTAAATTAATTATATATTTTCTATTTAAAAGAAAAAATGAGAAGAAAAAAAAAAAAGAATGGAGCCGGCGCCAAGGCTGAAGATTGGGGTGGGAACCTGGGGGAGGTCTCTCCTTTCTTAAGTGCCCTTTTAAAACCGCCCGGTATGTACTCTGGTTCAAAATTTTTGGTGATTTGGCAGGGCTGGGCCTGCTGGGAGAGGCACCTAGCCTGAGCGCTGTTTTTGTTGGCTGTGAGGAGTTGGGAGTTCGTTCCATTCAACTTCTATAAAAGCCAAATTTGCGAGCCTCCTCGCTGACGCTGGGCCTGTGGAAGCTGTTGGATTATTTTTGAAAAGATTTGGATTCGTCTTTATTTCGTTTTATTTTTCCTTCTTTCCCTCTTCATTTGTCCTGACTCCTTCACTAGATATTTGGAAACTTCCCAGCCGAGATGAAGACTTGGAAAAAAAAAAAAAAAAAAACACCGAGGATGGTGTGGGGGAGAGGGAGGGGATCTGGGGAGGTATGGCCTCCACCGCCCTGGCCCACTCCCCTGCAGGCAGGAAGATCTTTCTGTCTTTGACTTTTCTTCGTTTCCACTCGCTACCCTAAGCGTCCAAAATAGGCAGAATATGCTTTGTGGACTGTTTTAACCGTCCCCCCAACTATACACACACACACACACATACACAAACCACTTCTGATCCTCTGCCTGAAGTTTTAGAGGTACCATGAGCCTTTGAACATTTATTTGCAAATTCTGGGGTTTTGAGATTTTGCAGCCTTCCCCTTATTTCCTGGTGGTCTGCTGGCCCCCAACCAAAAAACTGGTATTCAGATTAGCAGACTGCAGGTTGGTTTGTGTATGTGGTTTTTTTGTTTGTTTTGTTTTGTTGTTGGGAGCTATTTTTCTCTTTTTTATTTCCACAAAGCAATAAAAATGGGTTGGGTTGGGGGGAGGGAATGGGTGGACTGATGGGATGGGATTCTTAGTTTTCTTTTGACAAAAGACTGGTTTCTTTTAAAACTTGTCCAAAAAAAGAAAAAAAAGTGGGTATCTTTGCTTTAGAAGGCTGTGGGCAGGCTCTTTGTGGCTGTGGGGGTGGGGTTGAGTGTTTACTGGACATTCTATATCACAAGATTGATAGAATGTTTATAACAGATGTTTCTTATCTTCCTCCTACCCCCTCCCAAATAAAAGTCAAGACTTTTCTTAAGTTAGCTGCCTGAGAAATGATGTATAAAATATCTTTGACTGCTGGTATGAGAATTCCAGTTTCCAACACACATCAATTTCCTCAACTATTTGGAATATTTTAGAATTTTAATTCCAAAGGATTGATTTGAAGACAATTATGCCACATAACTCATTTTTTTGCCATCTCATGTGTCTTGATAATAGTGCAAATTAAAAGCTAATAATCATAATAATAAAGTGCATTTAATTATCTTCAAGAGATCTAGCCCTTTAATTGTATTTAACAGGGTTGTAACATTTTATTAGTTTAACCAAACCACACCTCCCTCCTCCTTCCCTGTCTCCCTTACCTAGTTAGTTGGGGGTGGGGCAGAGAAGTGGGCTTTGAGCCCAAGATCTAGGTTTTGTTTTTTTTAGCTAAATGGTTATGGGAGGAAAGGTACCTTATCATCTTTTGTTGGCTGACTTTGGGACAAGGGAGAAAGTATTTGGAACCCCTGCTTCAAAATGTTTGTGTGTGTTAGTTTATGTTGGGGGAGGGGAACTGGAAATGTTTGGTAATTGAAGTCATGTGGGGCTTTGTTTGGAATTGTATGAAGTCTAGGGATTTCAATAGATCCCCCCAAAAAAATACATAGTCTCCCCCGCCAAAATCATTTGTGCCAGTGGCTAGTTCAAATTCAGTTTTTATCAATTGCTAATGAGTGTGAAGGCTAAACAGAGGTTCCCTTAATGATGGTGGGCAGGGGGAGGTGTCACCACTCCTGCGCTCCATTTGTTCCAAGTCTAAAGGAACCCCCCCCCCAAAGGCTGAAGGAAAGCGTTTAATTACAAACAAATTGTTGAGTGTCTTTCCTGGTAATAATGGTAAGAGCTTGGGGAATTGGATAGGATTTTGCTGTGCTGGGGACTGAGCCCAATGGGAAGAGAAGCCCTGATAATTTCCTAACCTCTGGTCTCTGTTGAAGATTTTGGGAGAGCTTCCCCCACCCCTAAATCCCCCAGGGTCTTAGCTCTGTTTGCTTTGGGTACATTTGTCCTGGATCTTCACACTGATGGCAGGAGGGGTGGTGGACTAGTAACAATCACCCTTTCCTTCCCAGAGCAGGGGGTGGTGGGAAGGAAAGAACTGGGGTAGAGATGGTTCTTCTTTCTTGCCTCTGCCCCCACATCCTACCTCAAGGTCTCCTGCCAATGTAGAACAGGGTCTAAGAAAACTGACAAAATAGGTTTTATGACTGGAGAAGAAGATGAATTATAAGATAATTGCCTCTTTTGGAAAGAACAGATCTTGAAGATGCCTTTTTCTTCTCTAAGGGGGAAGTCATGGACTGAAGTAGCTTATAGAAAGCAGTGGGGGAACCCTCCCATCACCTCACACCAGTTTCTTTGATAAGATAACTTGGAGGAAGGGCAGCTTTAGACCACAGTGTGGGAAATTTAGGCTGGGGAGAGGAGAAAGGGTCTTGGAGGGAAAACCAAAGGTAAACCTTCTGAACTCAATGCTGCACCAGGAGAGTGGGGTCTCTACCCCATTGTTTGGAAAACACAGTTAAAACCCAGGGCCTAGAGGTCTGCTTTTGTAGATTTTCTATAGGTCTCAGGATAGATAGGAACTGGTTTCCACATCCTAAGTGGATTGATTCCTCCTTCTGGGAGAGTGAGGTTTTGTGTTAGGTGGAGAGTGAGGGCTAAGGAGGGACTCCCCCCACTTGAGGCCCTGGGCAGGTGCTTTTTACCTGTTCTTCCACACTCACCCCCATCCCACAAGCCAGCTGTCTAGTTCAGATAGTTATTCAGACTCCCCCTTCTTATTGATCTGACTTTTGCTTTTCCTACCCCAAACCCCAGCCTTCCCTCCTGAAAAGTTTTCTATTGTTAAAAATTCTTTGTCCTTTTAGAGGATCCTTTAAGATCCAGTTCAGAATGGGCCCCCAAAATTTTCCAAGACAAAATTCTTCTGTATATCCCCCCAAAATGAATTCTGGTGTTGCCTCAGTGGGACCTGGAGATGCCAACTTTTAGATTATTCTAGAAGCTGCCAACTTCTAGATGATGATGATGATGATTAAGGGCATTGGAATCCTGATTTGGGCTGGATTCTGGAAGAGTTGTCCTGGGTGCTGTGGTGCACACATTTGGGAAGCCCAGTCTGAGCTCCTGCCACTTCAGAGATGAGTTTTCCCTTCTGTAGTCTCTGCCCACTGGAGCAGCATCCTTCCTCTAGATCACCTTTCTCATCTCTAAATTTAAACTTTGGGGGACCCTGACTTTCTGGAATCTGAAATAGCTTTGGAACTCTAACTGCAATTAAAGGAGGGGGGGCTGGGATTGTGGCTCAGCGGTAGAGCACTCGCCTAGCACACGCTAGGCCCTGGGTTCGATCCTCATCACCACATAAAAATAAATAAATAAATGAAATAAAGGGTTTGTGTCCAACTACAACTAAAATATAATAAATATATTTTTTTAATTTTTAAAAAGGCCAGATTCACATGAACACATTATTTTGCATAAAAGTTTAGGACGCTTCTGTACCACCTGGCTGTGCCTTCTCCCCACCTACTCTGACCCCCAAGCTAGTCCCACAGTTTCTAATTACCTCTGTGACAAAAAGGGGATCAGAGAGAGGAAACTATTGTGACTAAAAACAAGGATCATCCCTAAACCAGATTATTCACTCAATGGAATCATATTCCTCACTCAGGTAACAAATTATCAAGATGCAACAGGATGGAATGAATGCGCAATGCATTTGTGCCTGAGGGGGAGAAAAAAGAGGAATACAGAGCCAGATAAACCAACCATATTTGGAGAGAGCCTGGGCACGAGACAGGACCTGCAGGGAGCACTTGTGCAAATTTCCTAATCTCTGAGTCCCAAGACCTCATTGGTACCTGCCAGGCAAGATTGTGGTGAGGGGGCTGGGGTTGTGGCTCAGTGGTAGAGCACTTGCCTACCATGTGTGAGGCATTGGGTTCGGATCCTCAGCACCACATATACATAAATAAATAAAGATCTATCAATAACTAATAAAAATATATTTTTTAAAAAGATTGTGGTGAGGATTAAGTTGGGCCCTGCACAGACAGAACCAGTGCATAGTAGAAGTTCAATAAATTGTAGCAATCATATCCAGTGACCCACGAGGCTGAGGCAGGAGGATCACAAGTCTGAGGCCAACCCAAGCAACTTAACAGTACCCTGTCTCAAAATTTGGGGGAATGTAGCTCAAAGATAAATTTTTCCCGAGTTCAATCCCTAGTACTACTACTACTATTACTGCTACTACTACTACTACTACTACTATTACTACTACTACTACTACTAMTAATAATAATAATAATAGGAAAAGAAAGAAAAAGAAAATGGGGTCTGGGGATGTGGCTTAGTGGTAGATACCTCTGGGTTCAACCCCCGGTACCACAAAATATATAAGTAAATAAATTCTAGCAGTTTTCCAACTATTTAGGATAAATTCCTGAAAAGCAGAATCACTGGATCAAAGGATACTTTTTTTTTTTTTTGAGGGCTTTGTAACCTATTGTAACCAGTAGTTTTAACAGAGTAGAATGTTTCCTGTGTTCCCAAGTTTTTTTTCTGACTCTGGATGCCAGCCCAGGGTCTCAAATCTCCTCAGGGTGGTGGTAGGCAGCATTTGTCTCCCTCTTTTTCCTCTGATTAGGACAGAAATGTCTTACTCGCCTGAGTGACCAGACGCACACGCTGGTGGGCCTCACCAACAGGCTTTGAAGCTGGCTAATTAGGGCTAGGACTGTCACAGCTGGCTTCCCCTGCACCTCCCCCTGCCCCTCCTGCCCATCCCTAGCCTCATAGCCCGAGAGGCCTCCCCAGCTGCCTTGCCTTCCCCTGCAGTCTTGTGGCTCCTCTAAGCCATCTGGGAAGGCCCCAGAATTTGAGTCCCTAAAGGACTGAGGCAAAGCAACAAGATGAACAAGAAGTGACTTGGGACAGGGAATAAGCTCTTGGACTGTTGGGTTTGCCAGTGGCCCAGGAAGCCCTCGCCTCATTGCCAGTGAGGGCTGGAGAGGAGCCGGCCCAGGCTGGGGGCTGAGTCCTGGGCCCTTTGTTTGGACGCCAAAGCTTTCTCAAGGCTCCAGCCTCCCAACCTGGCCCTTATAATTAGCCCCAATCAGAGTGTTTATGTAGGGGCCTAGTGCGGAACTCAGAGCCCCGTGATTTCATTCCAAACCTACAGGGAGGAAAGGGAGGGAAAGGGAT